GGTTTAATCTGATTATATATATTTTTTAATGTATATTTCTGTAATTTGCAGGAGTAAAAAAGTTTAATGTATGCATATATTATTCATCACAAAAATCTGGTTTTTGGATCGATATGGTTTTATTTACTCTGCTTCTATATTATTTCTATACACAATAATTTCCTCTATAAGTTTACAAGCAAACAATAGTTCATTTGCAAAATAACTACTGAGCATTGACATGTCTAAACTAAAAAGGAAAAAAAAACCATACCTTCAATCTATAAATGAGGTTTTGAAGAAGAATAATGTGATTTTAGCATAAACCCTAAGACAACAACCCCTAACAATACATAAATCAATTGGGGATAAAAATTTCTATTTTAGGTTTTTTTTTTTGAAAATAATATGATTTTTTTAAAATTACACATATCAGGAAAAAAATTGTTTCTCTTTAAAAAAAACACAAGTAAAAATATGCTTTTTTAGGCCCGTTTAATTCGTTCTAAAAAAAAACCCATTTTTAACGTTATTAGGAAAAAAAACGCGTCTTTTTAACGAACTTTTAAAAAAAATGCTGTTTTTAACGTTTTTTTAAAAAAACTCTGATTTTTTTGAAAAAATCGGCGATTAATCGGCGATTTGCAAACTATGACCGTGAGAGAGATTTTATTTCCTAAAATGCCTCTATCCATAAATCTCTCAACGAAATATCCAAAATCTCTCTCTCTCTCTATCTTTAATTGTTTATTTGTTTTTAATTGTTGAATATTTTAGTTAAATGATTGATATATCTACATTGTAGATAGATCTAGGAGATGGATATCTATAACCGATAGATGTCAATTTGATAATATATTTTTCTCTCTTGCAAAAGGTAATGTAAAAACACCTAAAACATCTCTCTTTCTCTCCCAATCGATTATTTGTTTCAATGCATTTATTTGATTTTTCAATATTTTCCATTGATCATGTGTTCTTACATGTTCAAGCGATAAGTATCCTTATGTGATATTTGGGAATATGTATGGATCTGTCACCTTCTTTGCTTTGTCTAATCGTCCATGTGGGACTTTTTCATGTGTGTAAACATTCATATGTTATTCATATGCCCATGTATATTTTTAACTCTAAGGCGTTAGAGCTAACAATATCTATTAATACTTATTTGTGCCTAAGAATTTGTACAAAGTATCAGACTTAATAGTCTTTAAATATGAAACCCATGATAAAGAGTAAGAAATATTTAATTAATAAAAAATTAATGTTTAAAAATATAAATTAATCAAAATGCAATTAAAAATAACATTTAAAATATAGTTATTTTAAAAAATTTATATCGAAAATAAAAGACTAACTAATTTATTTAATGAATGCAAAATTGCAAATAATATTAAAGGTATTACAAATATGAGAATTGGAATTATTTAAAGCATAAAAAATCATTAAAAATGGTATCTAAAAAACATAAATAATTATTGAAAACTAATCCGCAAAAAGAAGAAGAAGAAAGTTTAATCTCATTGTTGAGTTTTTTATCTCTTGGGCCACACAATCTCTTTTTCTCTCCTATTTTTATGTCGTGAAAAGCACCTAAAACATAATGTCCTATATTTTAGAGATTTATATCATGTTGCATAATAAAACACCTACATAAAACGTAACATTTTATTATTTGAAAATAAAATTAGGAAGTATAGTTGAACTTGGGGAAGAAGATAACACACTACAGATGAGGGTAGCACATCCATCTTTCTTTTGCTTATCTGGATTTATCTAAGCCTTAAGCGTGTATCTCTATTTTTCTATCTTATAATATATTTTCTTAATTCTCTTAACTCTAAAGCAGTATTTTTTTTCTTGTTTTTTTTTCGTTTATTTGCTCTTCATACAACTTCATACAAGCCATGTAACTTGATGAGGTCTATAATTTAAGGGCCTACATAGATTGCTTAGTTTTATTTTTCCCACATGTTATTCACTATTATTTAACGCCAACACTTTTATATAGCTTGTCCATTGACAATTAAATTCCATAATTTTTAAAAAATATTTATTATTACTTTATATATAAGATCGTAAAATTCACAAAATGAATGGTCTAGATTTATTTTTGAAAATGACTCATTATGACCATATCTAAGGTTCAAATTAGATTTTTTTTTAAGATTGATTATTGAGATGAAGATAGCGTGTGCAGAATTTAGAGTCATACAAATACCACAAACATGGTTATCTAGAAATGTCATTGTATTATACTATGATACAACCGTCGTACTAGATCATTGATCAACATTTAATAATTACCTATCGAGCAATGATTTCATGCAACGGTTGTATCATAGTATAATGCAACCACACTTCTAGAAAACCATGTTTTTGGCATTTGTATGATTCCAAATTTTGCACACCCATTATCTTCATCATCATAATCAATTTTATGGAGAAAAAAACTTCAATTCGCACTCTAGATATAGTCAAAATTAATACCCTCCAACAATGAATCTCGACCGTCCATTCGGTGAACTTCAAGATCTAGGCCTTGATAACTTCAAAATCATTTTTTTCTTATTTAGCATTATTAATCTAATGATGATAACACGATATACAAATTTTGGGAATAAAAAAATCCTTTTGAGGCCTATATTTAATTTTATCATTAAAATGGATGACTTATATTAATTGAGTTAGAAAAATATTTTTTAACGTGTTTTTTTATTTTAAATTTTGTTTTTTATAATTACTTTTTTAAATAAAAAATATATAACTAGAAAATTATGTCAAACAAATATGTCTTCCATAACTGTTTAATATGATTGCATTATATGACGATACAACTGTTGTATGAGATCATTGCTCCTATCAATAATACGTTGAACATTCCCATAAAAAAATATGCATAGATTTCACATTGTGACGTGGGGAAAGGCGGCTAAAAAAGGTAATAAGTTTTTTTATGACTAACACCTTAACGAAACGTGGCTCTAATTCATGAAATGACTAACGAGGGTGACGACATGCAGTAATAAAGCATTGTGGCCCACACATTAGGACGTAAGGCCGCTTTCCAGGTCATCATAATGTAAAAATGCTCCATACCGACCATAATGTAAAAATGGTCTAGCAAAAATTTCGAAGTCAAGTCAACTCGAAACGCCAACAAATAAATAAAGCTAATATAGACGCTAGAATTTTAAGAGGAATCCCCAACTTTATGTTTTTTTTTTTAAATCGATTCAACTTAGGCATGTATCTAGGGAATACTCACTTCAAAGTAGATCCGTTTTAGATACATCTAATTAAATTAGAAAAAAGTTTATAAGGTTGCAACCTTAAAATGTAGAATTATATATGCACCTAAAAAATCCATCGGAAAGAGTTGTTTTAATGTTAAAAGCCCTCTAATTGATCATCTTAACATCGATATATATGAATATGAAAAAAAAAAAAGATTTTGAGTCCCATAAACAATTCATCTTACAACACCTTATCTAGACTGTTTGTTTTCAAGATTTTCATATGTTTATAGATCTACTTGATTTTAACTATTTTTGGAGTTTAAATTTTTATAATTAGATATAAAAATAAATTTTGAGATAATCCTAAGTTTTTTAATTCCAAAATTACATATCATGATAAATTTTGAAGGTGCGCCTTAATTGGATTGTTTAAGATGGCAACCTTATAGAAACCACACCTAAATTATGTTACATATTCATTGCTTATAGCTCATGACGCCATGTCAAAGATTCAAAATGGATGCTGTTTTTCCACAAAGAAAAAAAAGAATTACAATGAATTGAAAACTTATTACATTTCTAAAACTACTAGAATATCAAAGTTTTAGAGGATTGAGTCCCACTTTGATCGGATCCAAGGAGGATTGAGTCCCACTTTGATCGGATCCAAGGAGGATTGAGTCCCACTTTGACCGGATCCAAGGAGCCAGGTCTAGTGGAGTCTAGATAAAATAAAACTAGTTATTTATTATGAATTTTATAAATTTGGGTGTCGTACAGAGCCTAGGCTCTAAACAATCAAATTAGAACCTATTTCCAAATATTGTCGAGAAATGTGATTCTAATGCTGAAAATCATTGTAATAGCATTAAAATATGAGTAATGATCATATGAGATCCTCCCACATCCATTTGTGCAGAACTCCAAACGAACATCATTAAATTTGATACAGATCTCTAGAAATATTATCACATGGGTGTGAGACTTGACTTTTTTAGAGATCTGTACCAAATTTACTGGTGATCATTTGGAATCCTACACACATGGATGTTGGAAAGGTCTCATAGGATCATTATTTCTTTAATATATTTTCATTTTTATTTATAAAGTTTAAAGTATAAAAAATAGTGTAGATCGATAGATCTATGAAATATTAATAATTGATAAAAAAAATTACATTACAAAACGCACTGTTTTCAAAACTACTTGAAATCTATATTTTTTTCATATCCATGCATTCGGATGTGGAGATGATGATAATTGAGCATCAAATCAGCTATCTTGGGGTAAAATGATTGAGGTAGGCTATAATTCGATGGTTTAGATTAGAGGTATAAACTTTTCTCTATAAAATATTATTCGCGTGTGGAAAACCTAAACGTAATTGGCCGAGTAGTTTAGGATGGATAAAGACGTACATGTAGCCTACGTCAAGATCAATTATTTGCACTCAGACCGATCCAACGGTTTCAAAACGTGGTCAATCCCACATGCTCGTGGGCTCAACAACACACGGATGAAAATGCTCATCCGTGTGATGGACAAGGGCGTGCGTGCGGACTGGTGTGACAGATGCATGAGGCATATTCGGACGATGATTCGTCGGTCCATTGCATGGGGCACGGGCGAAGCTATCCTCTGTCTCTCTCTCTTAATGATCGAAACCTAAAACGCCTCTCTTTCTCTGTCTTACTGATCGAACCCAGAACGCATCTCTCTCTGTTTCTCTCTCTATCCGTCTCTCTATTTCTCTCTTTTTCTTCCTCTGTCTCTCTCTTTCTCTTTCTCTTTCTCTCTGTCTCTCTTTCTCTTTCTATCTCTTACCGATCGAATCCCATAACGTCTCTCTTTCTCTACTGATCGCCCCCCTTTCCAATCCGCTTTTTGCTTTCATTGTGGAATACCCCAAAACCATTTCTCTTTCTCTCTGATTCTCTTTAGAGAGATCCCCACTTTCTCTTCCTCGCACTTTCCCCCTCAGATACTCTGACGTCTCTCTGTCATAGTCTCTCACCTCTCTCTCTAACTCTCCCATTTCTCTCTCTCTCTCTCCACCGATTCGCGCCTTTCCCCAATCAATTTTTTTTCCCTCTTTCTCGAATCCACCAACCCCATATCTCTCTCTAGAGGGGTCCCCACTTTCTCCTTCCACTTTTTCAGATATTCTCAATCCTCTTTCTCAGATACCATAACGTCTTTCTCTCTTTCTAATTCTTCCCCTCTCTCTCTCTCTCTTTAATTCTCCTTTGTTTCTCTCTCTTTCTCTCTAGACAATCGGCGAGCCTCCCCAATCCGGAAACGCTAATCCTAGAAAGCCGTGGTGAAACTTCAGATACAGGCTCTTGCGAGCTTCAAAAACGGAAACCCAGGACCAGGTGAAGCCCAATTCTCAAACCTTATCGTAAACCGTAATTTTTTAGACTAGTAGAAGACCCTTGTTTGGGTTTCACCGTATTCCCCAATATGGGTTCAATCTGAACCCTATTTTGGGTTCGCTATAAACCCTGATTTTGGTTTATAGAGAGTGAGATGTTTAACTAGTTCAGTTAATCAGATAGTTGCAGGGATATTCGAGACTACACTTTGGGTAGCAGAGGCTTTTGAAACTGTAATGGCAGGAACCCTATTTCTTAAGAACCGATGGAGAAAGTAAACTCTAATTTTAGCATACAGTAAACCATAGTTTGGGTATTGTAAAGCCTAATCACATTAAATCTATGAAAATTTTGAAATTATCTAAATATGAAAACCCACTGTAAACCTAATATCCTTTTACAGTAGTTACAGGAGTTTTGGTTCACTGTAGTTAAAATAATTGCAGAGGTTAATTAATTATAGTGATTTAATTTATTTTTCCTATATAAATAACCGACCCCAAATAATTAGGATAAGACTTGGATGATGATGATGATGAATTTATTTGTCCTATGGTTAATGGATAGTGCTTAGTAGATTGATGCTGTGATATTGGTATATCTTGTTCATCCCTTGCTTTTATTGGAAAATGCTTGATTACTTTTTACAATTTTTTGGTTAATTATTCTCAGTGTACAGGGACCCACCTCAACTAGGGGACTCGCCCCCTGGCCGATGCAAGTTACTCGACCGAGTCCAGCAAAGGGCCAAAATTTCAGAAGTCCCTAAAAAATGGGAAAAAATAAGAAAAAAATGGAAAAAACTAAAAGCATGTGTTAAAAGTGAATTCAAACCAAAAAAACCTTTAAAAAGTTGAACAAGGTAAAAAAAAGGTCGAGAAAACGTGGATTAAAAAAAAACAATTTGCAGTTTGGGATATTAAAAAATCCAAAAAAAAAGAAATAAAAAAATGTGATTATGGCAAAAGGCACCCGCCAATCTTTTTCAAATACATCTAAATTAGGTAAGAAAATTTGCATGACATAAATTATTTTTTTTTACAATTTTTTTTTCGATTTTGTTTGGGTACTTGGCCTAGTCCCAGCACACTGATTGTTCTATTTGACTATATATGTATGACACGACTTTGAGTTCTTCAATTTGATTATATTTTTGAAGTATTTGATGTGAGTTCTGTTGCCAATTTTGGGCATATTCCTTTTTATCTCCTTCTTTCTTGGCTGAGCTCTTATATTTTTTATGGTCTATCAAAGTAAAAAACAAAACAAATAAAAAGCTTTTTGCTATTGCCCAAAATTTACTATGCACTACCACTTTTTGGAATTTTTTTTTTTTGGGTAGATCAGTGGGGAATACAGGCCCCTACCTGTTTTTTTAGAAATAGTTAGTGGTTTTAGAATGCGTAAGTGAGAATGAAAACCTAGACCGGTAGCTGAGGTTTTGGTGGTGTTACCACCACAACTTCAACCCTTTTTTAATTATGTATTGAGATTTGAGAACCATTAGTTCACATTTGTTTGTCTCCTATCATGTCTTTGTTTGTGCTTGAATCATCTTTTCTATGGCCTAAAAAAAGAAAAGCCTTTTGTTATGGCCTGAATTATGTTTGTTCTTGTAGAACCTAATAGTTTCTAGAGGTGCCTTGTGCTTGAAACCGCATTATATTTGAATAACTTTTGGCTTATGATAAATCAATGAATGTGAAATCTTACATAATATGTGGCAGTATTATTGGCCTTCAACATGTATGTAGTTAACTTTGTCAGAACATTATGGTTTCATTAGTCTCTGATAGAACTTCTCCGCGCACGAAGAAGTTCAGCATTTAACTATTGTAATATTAACTTTTCTTTGTTCCTTTTTTTTTTGTTGGGTAAACTCTTAAGTTTTTCATCCTTTGATAAATTCTATCGTTTACAGTTAGGTTGATAAGTCTTAAAATTACAAACAATAGCCACCCACAAAAGATCCTTAAACCTATTGCCTGAAGTCATTGTACTTTTAAACAAAGAGTAGGTTGCCAGACCATCTCCTAGAGCTTCTTTGTTATAACGTTGAACTCCTTGTTAATAAAGGATCCTAATAGGCCCGACAATGAAACAAGCGACTCGGTGCAGTTAGGCCGGCTCTAAAAAAATAGGGCTTGGGCCACAAGATGTTGCTCAGGGGCCTGGGCCAGGCCAGGGCCGAGGGCCACAACAGGGCCAGCCCATTTGTCTTGGCCTGGCCCTTGTTTTATTACTTATTTTTTCCCTTTTTTTTCTTGGGTGGTATTTGACCCACTTAGGCCAGGGCCTCTTCCACCCCCGCTTGTTACCAACCCCATATCCCAAGATTTTTGTAGCTAAACTAGAAGATACTGCAAGCTAAAGTCATGATGAAGAAAACATCAAAGGTCATTATTGGAAACCATTTCTTTGATAATGCAAAGGTTGCCAATGTCTGTTGCTTATGAGGAGAAATCATAACCAAGGAACATAAACAACACGAATGATATATGACCAAGCAATTGTCAAATATCCTAATAAGTATTTGATAACGAGTAAATCTGGAAATGAGATCCTAATCTGTATAGATGACTTTGACAGTTAATCAAGCAAAATCCACTATTTGAACCAAATAGCTAGGGGAGATAGTTATATGTTATAAAATAATATGAGGGCCAAGGTAACAAATATTTGATATCCTCCTTGACAATCACATGGGGCTTACAAATAAGCTGAGGAAAAGAAATTTTATCATCTCCAATAATCACAATATAGGTACTTATAGGCACGAAGTAATCCTTCCTAGTTGACAAGCAAAAGGAAGAAATCACATTGATCCTAGTCTGTATAATTTTATAATTTGCACCCAATACTGTTGGAGTCCATGTCCATGTTGCCTTATGATTCTAATGGATATGTTAGGTGTCTAATAGCACCTAGATGTGGTGGCATGTGAACATTTTCAGGTAGATTACAGTGAATAAATGCACTTTTAGCTGCTATTCACCCCTCCTGGAAACCAAGCCTTTGGATGATTGGTTTGCCGTGGTTTTGCATTAAAAGCTAGAGCCCAAGCCTTTGGATGATTGGTTTGCCATGACATTGTATTAATAGCTATTTCCTTTTGCAATATGGGAATGAATTTCCCAAATATCTGCATCTCCAGTCATGTAGCTGATCATATTATGGATCCTAGGGAAACTTTCATCATCCCTTTTTACAATATGAAAACCAATTTCCCAGACAAATGTTTTCACTTAGGAAGTTGATGGGGTGAAGGACCCACAAAGGCCTGAACCTTTAAAACACTATCTATAGTTAGTTTGGATCTTAAAAGAGCTCCAAATACTCATCTGGCATCCACCAACTTCGAGGTCCAGATTAAATCTTGTGGGCAATTGGATATAGAGCAGTTGTTGAACTCCAAATCCACTTTTCTTTTTGGTAGGAGAGGGATTTTCTACTTCATGATAGTAATATTGAGTTTGGTTCCTTTGGGGGTGCCTCACCCAATTGAAATTGGTGGATTGGGGGAAGGTTAATTGCTGTGGTATTGGCCCTTGGGCCGGTAGAACCTTTTCGCATATATTTATTCTGAGAAACCTTTTCCCATACGCGCACACATGTTTTTATGCAGCTTTTCTACTTAGCTACTTTGGCCATATGGGAGTTTAGACAAGACCATGGTACATAATACCATGAAACTTTACTATGGTAGAGGAAAAAGGTTTTTATTTGAGGGCGCCTAAGTGGGTCGGAACTATGGGCTGATATATGGTGGAATATTAACACTAGAATTTTTGTTATATAAAAGTAAGATAAAAGGTTCATAATATGAGAGAAAGTAGACTTAGATGGGCTGGCCATGTGCAATGCCGACCAATACAATACCTGTTAGGAGATGCGCGTTGGTTCAAGTTGAAGGCTCAAAAAGGACAAGGGGTGGGCCCAAAAGAACATGGTTGAAAGTAGTGGGAAAATATATGGGGACTTATGGCCTCACTGAGGGTATGGTCCTTGATGGAGAAGAATGGCAGACCAGGATTCATATAGCCGACCCCAAATAGTTGGGAAAAGGCTCTGATGATGATGATGAAATGATTCTTGGACTGCCTGAAACATGTGGTTGTAGGCTCATCATTGTCTAGTGAATGGAAGGAATAGTAATGAGGAGACAACTGTAACCACCATCTCATGTTCTTGTAAGTCTAACGCTCTCGATCACCCCTATCCAATCCTTTGATTGGATGGCGCTAACTATCATGGCCTCATGCCATGTAGTCATGAAATTAAAATATATTGTCCCTCGGAGAAATCCCAATATGCTAATAATATGCATCAAAAGTTCAAAACCTAACAAAAGTAACTAGGAGCCAAATCCAAGTTGAGAAGAGATACAGGAGCAAACATCAAACAAAAATGGCACTCTACTACCTGAAGAAAAAGTTTTTCTAAACTTTTCGAATCAACAACTAATGCATGTACAAGGGGAGAACCCCTTATTCAATAGAAAGGGGAATTGCATCACCATTCCATAATTTTTGGGATCGGGAGCAAGAAATCGTGAAAAGCTAGAAGATCCCTATGGTTGGACGAGTTGTCCATACAATGAATATATTCGAGATCAAGAACCCAAAATGTTAGGGATCTCGGTTCCAATCTTTTGGAGATCTTCCTCCCAATCTTAATGAGTAATATCCATGTAGACACCTAATCGTCAAATTGGCCTTGACCCTAAACTTGAACCTAGCCTGAACGGCAATTAAAACTTAGAGAAATTGATCCCATAAACCTTAGGAAATGATCTCATTCGAAAAAAGAAGAAAGGAAACCTTAAGAACTGATGATAGGGACCATGCTTGCTTTGGACACCCATAAAATACCTTCACTATGTTCTGTACTCCTTAAAGAGCATAGAAAGTTTTTGAAAACCATCAAATACCCTCCTTAAAGTGGATAAGATTGGACACAAGAGAGATTTGAATCATAAAGCCCATCCGAAATTGAGAAAA